AACCATGACCACACTTAACAGCAACTTTGAAATCTTCAAAAGGATGATGGGACCCCACAAAGATGATTCCACATGGACTATGATAAAGCCATTAAGCTGATTAATACCATGGAAAAATTGACTTTGAACTACAAACTGGTCAGGACAATTTTGAGATGACTAGCTGAGATGATCCAGCCTGACAGACTACTCAAGCAAAGACTTATGACAAGCCCTGAACTTTCCTTTTATGCAGAGACTGGACAAATGTTACAGGACTTGACAATTAACCCAAAAATTTTCTTTTCAAGATTCCCTAAAGATATCTTCACCCCTAGAAAGCAAAAAGAAAAAGAGAATAAGATACGAGATAGATCATTGAATCTACTCTGAGAAAAAAGATAGAGAAATAATAGGATAAATAGGTAGATCACTGAATCTACACTGAAGAAAAAGAGGAAGATATAAAAATGACAAAAGGTAGACTACTGAATGTATTATGAAAAGAAAAAAGAGAGAATATGGATATGATCAGATAAAAAGGGAGATTATGGAATCTACTTTTAAAAAGGAACTACTTGTTTTAAATAAGATAAGTAATAAAAATTTTTTGGTCTGAGTTTATCAGATGTTTCTGGACTGGACATTGTTAATATATATAATGGAGTTTTTATCTGAATCTGTCAAATGTTAATGGACTAGACACCATCAATATAATTTGACTGTGTATATTGTATATACTTACTGGATATAATTTTTCTTGTATTAGTTATAAGCTTTTTAAAATTTTAGACAAAAAGAGAGGAAATGTGGTATTGTATTCCCCCAAATACTGTGCATGCTAATAAACTTATCTGGGGTCAGAGACAGAACAGCCACAATATTAAACATAAAGGATAGGCAGTGGTAGCACATGCCTTTAATCCTAGCATTCCAGAGGCAGAAATCCATGTGTTCTAGGATACAGCCAGGCATGGCGACTCATCACGCCTTTAATCCCAGAAATCGAGCCTTTAATCCCAGGGAGTGGTGGTAGAAAGCAGAAAGGTATATAAGGCGTGAGGACCAGAAACTAGAAGCATTTAGCCTGGTTAAGCATTTGGCTGGTTAAGCATTTAGCTGGTTAAGCTTCAGGCTTTTGAGCAGCAATTCAGCTGAGACCCATTCTGGATGAGGCCTCCAGTCTGAGGAAACAAGACCAGCTGAGGATCCGGCAAGGTGAGATAGCTATGGCTTGTTCTGTCTCTCCCAGCATTTGGCTCTGGGTTTGATTTTATTAATAAGAACTTTTAAGATTCCTGCTACAGTTGAGAACTGTCGATTTAGGAGAAAAATGATCATATGCATTCTGTCTACAAGCCAGATTCATTGCCATGTTGATAGCTAAATGTGAAAAGAATGCTATCTCTACATTGACAGCATTCACAGTGCATGCCGGGGTTCTCCACTGGCCAGCTCTGGAGAGTCGGCCCTTTTCTTTCCCACGTCCCCATAGTTTCCCCTATCTATCCCGCTGCAGTTCCCCTAAAACTTACAGAACCCAAGTATAACTCACCAATTCCACTCCCCAGTACATATTCAAAAGGAGTGGGACAGGTGTGTACATGAATGATCACACCAGCGCTACTCACACCAGTTGAGAGGGAAGCAGCCTAGATGTATCTATCACTCAGCCAGGAAAAGGAGGAAGGTCCAGATGGGTGTGGCTCTGGGGATAAACCATAAATCTCAAGCTGAAGAAGCAGACTCAAAGGGTCAGATGTGGTCCTTCAAAACCTCAGAGGTAAATCCAGACACAGAAAACAGGTTAGTGTTTGCTTGGAGCTGGGAGAAAGACTTGAATGCCAACTTGATAAGCAGGGGTTTCATTGGGGGCTGATGAAATGCTTTGCAACTAGGCGAGAGTTATGACCTCACTCTGGGTCTGAATGCCGCTGAGGCCCACACTTACAAACGGTGCATTTGACGTGGTCTAAATTCACCTCAAAATACCTTATCCTATAGCGTCCTATTCTGTGATGCAGTTATAATATGTTCTACTGTGTCTTTGAGGCTCTAAGTTTTTCTCCTTATAAGCTCAGTATTTATTATGGGTTTCTACATCAGCTTTTCAGAGAGTTGATGAGCCTAGGCTGTCTTCTCATCCTCAAGACAGCGAATCAAATAAGCAAAGTGTTCGCTGAGGACCGTGTGCTTAGTCCCCAGTGCAGCGCCAGTGGGAGGCTGTGGGACCTTTAAGAGGCGGGGCCTAGCGGGAGGACGTCCAGCCATTGGAAGCTTAGCCATGAATGGGATAGTGAGAGCCCAGCCTCTTTCTTTTTCTTTGACTCCAGGTCGTGAAGGGAGCCTCTCCCGCTCCATCACAGGCTCCCCCAGACAACACAGGCAGCTGACCACAGGATGAAGCTTCCAAAACACATTAAACGTTTTCTCTGTATCTACTGATCACACCTGGTTTATGGTATAGTCATGGATGCTAACTAACACTGCAGAGCTTTGTTCTCCACTATGGGCAACAGGAGCTTTGTGTTGGGGAATGCCTGGTATTCTTTTGTTATTTTAGTATATACTTTTTAAAAATTATCATAGATTTGACCAGATTTTCTAGATTAAGCAATAAAAACGTCCTTCCTGGAAAGTGAAACCAAACCAAAGCATTGTGGAGTCAAGGAACAACAGCAACAGAATCCATATCTTTTCTAATTAGTATAAATATGTGTTTAAAAGTAACACCCAAAAGTTACCATTTATAATAACATCATAGCCCCAAATAGTCACAGCACGTATTTTAGATCTTAGGTATTTATTTTATAAGTGCTTCTGTGGCACAATACATAGACAGAGGTAGAAGAAGTACCTGATATTCACTCACTGTGAGGATCCAGCAGCAGAGGATGCATGGAAGAGTAAAAGCACATTTACAGTAGGGAAAAATCAAACTGACGCATTTGGAAACCATGATAAAGTGAAAGGCATTCTTAAAAGCGGAGCTTCTGGGGGCTTGGGAGTGCTCAGTGGTAGAACACTTGCCCAGCATGTGCTGAGGCTTGTGGATTCTATCCCCAGCACACCCCCAAATTTGGATAGCCATTCATCCATTTGTTCATCCCCCCCCACACACACACACATACACATCTTAGTGCTGAACAACACACAGGGCCTTGCTCACACTAGGCAAGCACACTGCATCTTTCTTGACCTGCAGTACAGTGGGGTGGGGTCTCAGTGTAACCAAGACGCTCACTGGCAGCGTTGCTACCCACAGTTAAGAGAAGCTTCTGTTCCACTAACAAAGCTCATGTCCATGTTCAGGACATGGCACACAATTATCACCAGTCCACAGGCTGGTGAGCACCCCATCTTAGCCACGGTCACTGAGAACCCGCACCACAATCCCCGCTATGAGGACAGCAACAGAAAGAGTCAGAGCCATCCCACGATAGATGATCAGCTGTCTCCCCGTCAGGACCTCCCCGACGGTGGGCACCGCACGCTGGCTGCTTTCCTCTACTACCAGCTGGCCAGCCTGGCTCTCCGGTCTGATGATATCAGGCAAAATCACTCCATCAACAACTTCTCTTTCCAAGACGGGCAGATCTGTTTGAAGACAGCGGTGGAACATTCATTTTGTCAACGTGGTATTAAAAAAAAATGATCCTCAGTTATCAGTTAGTGTACGTGAAATGACATAAGAAACATTTAACAGGAGCGTTCCGAGTTGGCCTGGCAAATTATGGCGGAGAGAGATGTTATTGTCACGAGAGCAGGAGCTCATAAACTCACCCTCTCTGGACAGCTGAGCTCCAGACTTTATAAAAGCAGAAATAGAACGATAAAGAGAGTGGACCATTACCTGCTGGCATGGGTATCGTCTCCTTGTTGCTTTTCAGCCCAGCTCGAACTTGTGCCTAAAAACAAGGCTACATGAGTAAATGAGGTAGAAATCAAGTCGAGCTGCGGCTCTCTGTTAAAGCTTCGATTTAAAGCTGGTGCTGAAAGGCTGTAATATCAGCAGCAGCCTTTCTTGGTCATGAAAATGTCACGGGACAGCACCAGAAAATGGCTGGTCTCCCAGGGCCCCACTGGCAGCAGTAACAGAAAAGCTGAGGGGTTAACATGTTTGCACTTATGTCTTTAGTGTCTCCGGATATGAATAACAGGACCAATCTAAAGGTAAGTGACATCACCATCTAAAAGCTAGTTTGCTGACCAAGTCAATATCACTTTCTTTCCAATTACGTGTATGGGTGTTTTTGCTTGCATGTCTGTGGGCCATGTCATGCAGTTTCCATGGAGGCCAGAAGAGGGCATTAGATGCCCTGGAACTGGAGTTACAGGCAGTTGCCAGCTGCCTTGTGGGTGCTGGGAGCCAAAGAGGGATTTTGTCTCGAAGAACAGTCAGTTCTCTTTACTGAGCCATCCATCTCTCCAGTCCCCAGGTCAACAGTCGGTATATTCTATTCCCTCAACAAATCATCATGAACTTAAGAAACACACAAAACATGACCATTAGGCAAAGCCAAAGGGCTCAGAAATCTAAAGGGTGACAGCCAGAATCCCTGAACCAGCCCCCCTCCTCCCTCCTTATTAAGGGTTCTTCCTCCTGGCCACCCACCTGTCTTACATCAGGCCTCACCACAGTGAGATGAGCACAGTCTCTGCTCACACACTCACATGGGTCACCACCCCTGCCCACATGTCCCACAAATCACAAATATGATCAATAAAAAGTTTAAATGAAGCTTTAAAAAGAGCTAATCGGAGCCGGGCGGTGGTGGCGCACGCCTTTAATCCCAGCACTCGGGAGGCAGAGCCAGGCGGATCTCTGTGAGTTCGAGGCCAGCCTGGGCTACCAAGTGAGCTCCAGGAAAGGCGCAAAGCTACGCAGAGAAACCCTGTCTCGAAAAACAAAAACAAAAAAAAAAAAAAAAAGAGCTAATCGGTATAAACAGGAAACTATTTTTTCTAACTCTATTTATAGAAAAACAAAAATATATTGAGGCCAATTTCTGTTTCCTTTCCTGGCTAAGAGGATCTGTCTTTCTGTCTCTCTTCAGCTTCCCACATAGTCAGTGTGGTTCATGATACGTTGTCTGTCTCGAAACTGGTGGGATTTTATTTATCATTTTACCAAGAAAGATGCCTTGTCAGCCATGAGATCAAGTGCCTTGTCAGCCATGGGATCCAGTGCCTTGTCAGCCATGGGATCCAGTGCCTTTTTAGCCATGGGATCCAGTGCCTTTTTAGCCATGGGATCCAGTGCCTTGTCAACCATGGGATCCAGTGCCTTGTCAGCCATGGGATCCAGTGCCTTGTCAACCATGGGATCAAGTGCCTTGTCAGCCATGGGATCCAATGCCTTGTCAACCATGGGATCCAGTGTTGATATGATTTAAAATGACACGGAATCTGTTACCTGCTCTGTAACTCTATTCCAGTCTGTCCTCATGATGTAGATTAAATATGAGAGGGCCTGGGAGAAAACACAGACTACCAGTCCGGACCAGAGGCCTGTGGGCGCAAAATGAACATCAGGGCCATCAATTCCGTTCCCATGATCATTAAAATCCTCCCTTGATAACTCATACTCAGTGGAGCAAACTTTCAGTTAAATTAACTTCTCAAAAATTTTAGATAAACATGAAGCAGAGAAGACTGAAGTCTGTCACCGAGCTATTAGAGACGCCGAAAGACGGATGATGAGCAAAGAAACAAACTGGAAATTTAAAAAGTGGTGGGTGTGTGGCAGGCACTCTCTGGTCGTTAATGATGACCCGCAGTGCAGTCCGGGTGAGTGGCCGGGTGTCTTCTGAGGTGGAGACCCGAACCAGCCTAGGGAAGGTCCAGGCCTGCAGTACAGACTAAAGCTGGAGGAGCATGCTACAGGGAGATGCCAGCTTGGGAGCCCCTTGAGCAGAGAGGCCAGGTAGGAAGTGACAGTGTTGGAGAAGGCCACGGAGGACATGTAAGCCACAGAAAAGCCCAGGGTTCCTGTTTATCCATGGTAATCAGGACCCACGAAAGGGTTTCAGACTGGTATATGCCTGGATGGATGTGAGATCTGGGTTTTTTGTTTTGTTTTGTTTTTTGTTTGTTTGTTTTTTCCAAGACAGGGTTTCTCTGTGTAGATTTGGAGCCTATCCTGGAACTTGCTCTGTAGACCAGGCTGGCCTCGAACTCACAGAGATCCGCCTGTCTCTGCTTCCTGAGTGCTGGGATTAAAGGCGTGCACCACCACTACTGCCCAGATTGAGATCTGGTAATTTTAAATTTTATTTGAAGCCAGGCATGGTGGCTCATGCCTGCAATCCCAGCATTCAAGAGGCTGAAGCAGGAAGATAATGGTTCAAGGCTAGCCCAGGATTCCAAGTGAGTTCCAAGCCAGTCTGGAATACAGAGTGAGAGTGTTGAGGAGGAGGGAGAGGAGGAGGAAGAGGAAGAGGAGGAGGAGGAAAGGAAGGAAGGAAGGAAGGAAGGAAGGAAGGAAGGAAGGAGGATAGGAAGGGGGAAGGGGGGAAGGGAGGGAGGAAAGAAGTACTTTGCTTGGAAGACATTCCTCTAACTGTTACATGAAAAATATGGAGAGCTGGGAACACAGAGGTGGCTCAGGGGTTAAGAGCACTCCCGCTCTGGCAGAGGACTCAGGTTTGGTTCCTAGCACCCATATGATAATTCACAACCGTCTACAGCTCCCATTCTAAGACTGTCTAAGACCCCAAGAGAGCTCTATAAGAGAATATGTATGAGAAGAAACTCTTTCTTAAAGATTTTTATTTTATTTTATGTATATCAGTGTTTTGTCTGTATGTAACTGCACCATGTATGTGCAGTGCCTGGAGAAGACAGAAGAGGGTGCTAAATCCCTCTAGAACTGGAGTTATATACAGCTGGTTGTGAGCTGCCACATGGGTGCTGGGAGCCAGACCAGGGTCCTCTGTCAGGACAGCAACTGCTCTTAACCTCTGGGCCACCTCTCCAGCCCCGGAAGAAACTATTTTTAATCACTTGAAAGTCACCACTTCCGTGTCAACAGTCACCGCAGAGCAAGCTGCGCAGAGTTGGAATGTGCTGTCAGTTGGGACATAGCCTCCCGATTCATTCATCAGCCATTGCTGACATTGATTTTCACATTTACTCCTGCGAAGACATTAGGCGGAGGCTGGGGAGATCCTTACAGCTGAGATGTAGATGGGATGACAGTGTAAATCCTTAGATGTCGAGATTCCATTTCTAGGAACTGATCCTAAAGCAAGGTTCAGGATCATGTGATTGGTGCATATGTGTTGAGTGCTCCTCACTCCACGGTTTATAAACAGGAGCCTTTCAAACGCCCCCTCCCGGAGAGGCGGTGCAGAGACAGGAGCCTTTCAAACGCCCCCTCCCGGAGAGGCGGCGCAGAGACAGGAGCCTTCAAACGCCCCCTCCCGGAGAGGCGGTGCAGAGGCTGCACGCAGTGCACCTCCTCTGCCAGCTGTAATTTCGAGTTTTGCAAAGAAATGGGACAAAGTAAAATTTGTTACATGATAAAAAATGTGCTGGTTCGACAGAATGGGAAGAATGATTTCCACACATATTGGGGCAGTCATGCATCTCTCTAATTAGACTTTAAAAAACAGTTCTAAGGATGTAGCCCAGTGCATCATGCATGGTAGGCATCCCCAGATCCACCTGCACTATTTTAAATGTGAAATAAAATTCATTGCTACTAAAAAAATGTATAGAAAATAAAACCGTGAATGAATACATAAAACACATATACAACTTTAAAACTACTTTGCACAATTCTAAACATTTTGAACCTCAATAAAACATTTCTAATAATTATGTGGTTTATTCATGCTGACACAATAAAAAGTCCAAACAGAAACTGACTGCTCTCAGGTGCATAAACTTCTTTAAAAATCCGAGGTTAAAATAGCTTCATGGGAGAATTCCACAAAATGCTTACAAAAATAGATAAATCTTATTTAACTTGCATTGGGGAATACAAAACTTATTTTATGAAGTAAGCATTGTATATAAGTAATGCTATTAATAGTATGCTCTGGCAAGGGCTGAGGCTGCGTCTCAGGAGCAGAATGCTCGCCTAGCTCTTGCAAGGCCTTGGGCTCAAGCATGCACACCCAACAAAAATATACAAAAAAGAAAACTACAGTGAATTTTAAAATCCATATAAATAGTAACTTAAAAGTCTAGCAGTTCAATTAGTACATCATAATCAGGATGGTTATAAGGGAGACAGTATCCCCCAGCTTCTTATTTGACCTAAGGCTAAAAATTACAGAATTGTTTCCACAGGCACCAAAACAGCATTTGGCAAATCCTTAGACATTTTTGTTAAAAGCATTCCATAAAACAGATTCCACAGTCAATTCTTTTACATTTTAATTTATTATTTGTATATGTGTAATTGTGTATGATTATGTGTGCATAATTGTGTGTGATTATGTGTATATATAATTGTGTATGTATGGTTGTATGCTTATGATTATGTTCAAACAGTGGTGTATGATTGTGTGCATGTATGATTGTATATGTATGATTATGTGTGTATGTAATTATGCTTGTGTGTAATTGTGCATGTATGGTTGTGTATGTATATGACTGTGTACATATATATGTATAGTATATATGATTGTGTGCGTATGTGACCATGTGTGGTGGATATGGGTTACGATGTACATGTGAGAGCGTGGGCACATGTGCCATGATGTCAGATGTCAACTTCCAGGAGTTAGTTCTCTCCTTTCACAGTGGACTGAACAGGGGACTGAACAAGGTCATGAGCTCATGGCAAGTGCTTCTACCAATGAATCACCTCACCAGCCCGCCACAGACACTTCTTAAACATGATTTAAAGCCACAGGCACATGTGCGCACTGCAGCTCCGAATCCATCATGCCCTTCAGTGGAGAAACACTGGGAGCGTCCTCTCACTCCTGCGGCAGCAGGCTGCGTGCAGGAACGCCTCCCTGTCCACAGAACAAGTTTCCAGTCAGCTGCTTTAGCCCTCAGGTGACTGATTTTACTACACCAGTGAGATCAGGTGGGTCGCTAAGGAAGCAGACACATACCTATTATCCCAAGTTTAGCAGCAAACATCAGAGATACTCCGATAGGAAAACCAAACCCGTAGTAACCAATGGCGTTCAGGATAGCGCCTATCTTTTGTTTTCCGGTACCTCTCAGGACCCCGCCACAGGTGCCCTGTGGGGAGGAAGCCAATAGTAAGACGAGTCGGACAACAATGACCTTAAGTCACACCACAAACAGCAGTTGTTCATACTAAGAATAAACCTCCAGGGATGGCTCCGGGATGTAGCCAGAGGGTCTTTAAACATCCGCAGGTCCACAGAAGACCAGCCCAGGAGAGACCCTCTAGTGGTCAGAGTTAGCCCACCTCCACCCAACCTGCCTGGACATATCCGGCAGTCACCATGCCGTTTGGCCAACACATCACTCTAGACACTCAGATGAGAGCCAGGCAAGGACCCTTGACGGACACGCAGACATTAAATCACAGACATGCAACTTTGAGATGAATAGGCTGGGAACGTTTTCCACACGTATCAGAGTGAAATCACTGAATGCTTACCGCAAGCGCATCAAATAGGTGAAATGGAGCGAAGATGGGCATCACTTGACTCACAAGGGAAATTATGTCCCTGTTCGGGAGGAGGACAGCAGTCAGTGACACATCTGGGTCAGTAAGATGGCTCTGTGGACAAAGGTGCTTTCGGCTAAGCCTGATGACCTGAGTTCCATCCCCAGGATTCACATGGTAGAAGGGGAATCAACACCCATCAGTTGCCTGCTGACCTCCCCACACATATTATGGCATGTACATTTATGAGAATGTGTGCATGTCCGTGCACGCACACTAATGTTTTTTAAATCACAAGCATAGCAATTTAGTGCAAACATTACATTTTAAGTATATGATAAAACCATACTAATTCAAATTTTATTAATTTATAGTTTCTGACACTATAAAGGATTTTTCTTCTTTTAAAAAGATATTTATCTTGAGACAGAGTCTCATTAAGTTGTACAAGGCAAGCTGGCCTTGAACTTGTGATCTCCCTGTCCCTGCTTCCTGAATAACGGCAATTACAGGTCTATTCCACCAGGCCAGGCTGATAATGGTTTGTTTTACTCAACAGACAATTTCTTATACATAAATAATTATGTAATTATTGTTACAGAAAACACAATAAAAGTATAAGATTGAGTCTATGACTTTTGCAAACACGACCTCAAATGGGGGGATGGCCACCATCCCTATAAGGTGTGCTGTCCTTCCTGTAAGGTGCCTGTCAGGGGGTGAGACTAGCCCATATGCTTTCTTCCGTTTCTCAGAGCAAAGCTGCACTCAGGTCTGATGAATGGCGTGGGTACTGGAAGAGGGGAGTGATTTGCACGGGCTGGCATCGTTCACCCTTACTTCTCATCTGTGCCCGCCTCTCCTTCCTGGCTGTGCTACAAGCCTTCCTGTGAAGTGAAGGGCAATGCCCCCTCATAACCAGAAGAATGCAGTGAAGAAATCCTAAGAGCAAAGACAGTTTCTGGACGTCCACCTACTTGTCATTGGTGAATATGTAGCCAACCACGTCCTTCAAGGCCGCCAGCAGAATTCCCACCAGGAGCGCACAGACACCTGGGAAATACAGAAGGAGTCACAGGAAGCAACAGTTCTCCTGAATGTGACAAAGCTTCTCATGGGAGATTTGCATGAGTCATCTGAGAAATGTAAGGATGCAGCTGGGTGCAAGGACATGCACCTGCAGACCCAGCTATGTGGGAAGTTGAGGCAGAAGGATTGCTTAAATTTGTGACCTGGGCATTCAGAACCAGCCTGGGCAATGTGGTGAAACCATGTCACAAAATCAGCGCTACAGTGTAAATAGTAATTCTTTTTTACTCTATAAGAAAAAGCCAACTAAGATCTGCTGTCTTAGGTTCCTTCTAAGGGAGTCTGTTCCTCAGAGTAGGACCCTCGGGAACATGAGGATTACATTTTGAATGTTTTTGTCCCTCTGGTACTCAGGGTGAAATTTCACTCCCAACGTAGAAGGGGAGTGACTGGATCACCAGGGCGGTGCTGCTAGGCATGCGGGTGTGTGTGTGTGTGTGTGTGTGTGTGTGTGTGTGTGTGTGTGTGTGTGTGTGTGTGTGTGTG